GGAGGGATATACCTGATACGAAGTAGTAATAACCTCCAATGAAGGTGTTCACGCCCAAGGAAAGATCCAAAGACTGCTTCCACCGAAGATGACACGGTATAGGATGAAGCAGAATCAGCAAGATGGTTCTTCAGCAAGAATCTAATGGAGGGCTAGTGAGCACGACTTCAGATTACCTTTTCTGCCAAAAGGTATTATCAAGAACTCTTCTTGATCACTCCCACAGGTGGAGATCGAACTGGTATGGCAGCAAAAGTAGGAGAGAAGGAAACACTGCAGTCAAACTGTGTTGTCTCTCTCTGGAATTCAGCAGTTAGTCAGATGATTTCTGATGTGTGTTGAGGGTTTGCCCTGCTCTCCTATTTATAGCCTTAAAGAGAGGTTCTCCTAATCCCATTAGGAGTTTCCTAATCCAAATCTTGTATTTGGATCTGGACTCTCTTTAAGAGATAAGGATAATCCCTTATCTTATCTGTAGATAAAGATCAGCCCTCCTAATCTAATTAGGAGTTTTCCTGATCCAAATCTTTATTTGGATCTGGACTCTCTGAGTGGATAGGGACAATCCCTTATCCTATCTGTTGATCTAAATCCCAAGACCGCCCTCTTTTAATTAATCTCATTAAGCCAATTCGAATTGGGCTTTAGGTCCATTAAGTCCATCTGCTCACTTACCCTCCAAACTGCTGCCTACTTGGATATCCTTGTATGGCGTGGGACCCAAACATTGATCTACACATCAGCCACATGGGTTCAGCCCAGCCTCTGTTACAAGGCCTGGCCAAATTCACTATAGGAGACAGTGAACCCCTGAGTCCATCACCATGGGCTCTTAATGGGCCCAACATTTACACTAAATGGTCATTGGGTCAAGCCACCTTATAAAAACCCAAGGACTGGGGGAAGATGCAAAATTAGCCCATCAGGTATTACCTTCAATGGTCTTATACTTAACCTCTCAGCCCATAACGATCAAACACTACTTGACAAGAGAGGACATCTCCCTCGGCTACAAGGTACAGTGCTACACTCTCTACTCACATGGATCCCGGGATATAAAACCTTTTGCAAACATTTTGAAACCATAATATATATATACATATATATATATATATACTATATAAATATATTTTTGCAAAACAAATGGTTGAAATCAACTGCCGGCAGTTTTGGTTTCCATCAGAGAGAGTGCATCCCCAATCATTCACTTTGTCCAACAAAGGGGCTGATCTTGTCACTATGATCACCCACTCAGATGAATTCTTGGACTATCCCAACATACCCAGGTTTTGATCCCCTTTAAGGATCTCACTGATTGGCATATGAAAAACAACCCAATCCGACACCTAGTGTAGTATCATAATCAAGTCTAGGGGTCAGGTGTAACATTCCAGTTTTGCCCATCCATCTCCAAGGTCTAGGGCAATACTAGAATTCTGTTCCGATTCAGGGTTTCAAGAAAACCCACACTGCATGTACCTCAGATCTCACCCTGGCAGCTGAGACAAGCCACCCCAACCAACTTGGCGGCACATCAATGTCAGCCTTGGCAGGATAAATCTCCCCAGATCTATCCAATGGCTGTGAAGATTCTAAACTAACACGAGTCTCATATGTGTCTAGTTTAAGGGTATTACACAGAAACACACCATAATAACATGAATCAAATATGTACTTTATTCATTTAAATTAAATGTCATAATGTACATCATTCTGATTGGAGCTAAAGGCATACACTGTCTAACAGAAGATAAAGACATAAGGATCAATCCCAATAGAAGTGTGAGAAGGTATAGGACAGAGAGACTTGATATGGTTAACTAAGTTATTTTAACAAGATTGAAAAAAAAAGAGGTGCCAAAGAATGAAGTAAGAGCACTCTATTGCCTATATTTAAAAACAGAGGTCACGTACAAAGTTGTAATTATCATTGTTCAGGGAACTAGACCAACCGGTTGGATTGGAAAAATCATGAACTAATCTATTGTTTGGTTTAGTCATACCCCAAAAACTGGGGGTGTTAAAAAAACCAGTCAAAACAGGTCAAGTAGCTCATCCAACTGATGGACCAGTCCCAATTTCATAAAATTAGTTGGTTTTCTTTCAAATTTTTAACTTGTATTTAGGCCATAACTTTGCACTCAATTGTCCAATTGGGATGTTCTTTTATTTTGTGTAACTTTTCCGACATCTACGCTCCAAGGGGCCAAAGGCATTTTTCCCTGCTATTTTTTCCGAAAAAAAAATGCCTATTTTGGCCTCAAATTATAATTTTAGCATAAAACACTAAAACAAATAATAAATATGTTGTATACAAAATATGATTATATTTTGAATATATGTACATAATTAATATTATTATGTATGTATTATATAATTGTGCCTTTTTTATAATTATAAAATAATAATAATTGCGCATATTACATATACATATTATATATATAACATATATAATTATTATATAATATATGACATCATATGATGGCATCCGGGTTGACTGGTTTGACCTTGCCTATTGAACCAATGAATCGTGACCTGGAGGGAAAACTGTTCTACCTCCAATCTTGTTTTCTTAGCATTGGTAATAATTATTGTAGGATTAAACTTGAGCCAGACTATGAAACTTCAGTAGAAAACAATTGAGCAAAAGTTACAAAATGAAAGAAGTATATCAGAAAACCAATTTGGATTTGTGCTAGGGAGAAACCATGGAAGCCACCTTTCTATTGAAACAAAGGGTAGAAGAGTTTAAGAAACAAAGAGAAGTCTTCATATGGTATTCATCGATTTAGAAAAACATATGATAGTCCCTAGAGAGATGATGATATGGCGAGTTTTGGGGGAAAAAACATCAAATAGGTATGTAACCCTAATTAAGGATGTGTATTAGCGTATGACAACCAATATTAGAACACCCAAGGGAAAGACAGATTTTATAGTTATGGCGGGTCTTTATCACTCCGTCCTTATTTATTTGCGCCATTCATGGATAAATTGACTAAACATATTTAGGAGTTAGGAGGAGGTCCCAAGATTCTTGTTGTTTGCTGATCACATAGTATTAATTGACGAAACAAAAGATTAAGTAGTACTACAACAGAATATATAAAATATCAATGTAATAATATAGAAGTGCAAAACTGAGTAAATTGAGGATTGGAGAATAAGAGATAACTCAATGAAACCTCTTCCACTAACATGGTCCAATAATTCATAACAAGAGACTAAGAGAGGTTGACAATGTTGCCCATAAAATTATAGCAAGGACAAAATGGAAGGCTATATATGGAATCATTACAGATAGGCAAATATCACTTCTATTAAAAAATTTTAAGTCCATCAATACTGTATGGGGAAGTGTTGGGCAGTCGTAAAACATGCCCAAAAAAAATGTAGCAGAAATGCAAATGTTGAGATGGATGAGTGAAAGACCTAGCAAGGACAGGGTCAGAAATGAAGTCATTTGTAGGAACCTAAGAGTAGCTCAAATAGGTGATAAAATGAGAAAAAGTAGACTAAGAAGGTTTCATCACATGCAAAGAAGACCAACTACAGCACCCATAAGTGACTTGTTACAAGTTGAAGAGGCTAGAAGAGCTAGGGGCATGGAAAGGACATAAATTGAAGTAGTAAGAAATGATTTGACTGTTCATAATTTAACTATGGATATGGCACTGAACAAAACTGAATGGTGAAACAGGAATCATGCAACCATCACCATATAGATGGGACAAGGCTTAGATGATGAGGATGATGATGATGATGATCACCAAAAGTTCTCTTCAACAAATAAAACAATTCTACACAAATATGTATAGTAGGTTTGATAGCAACCCCATGAACCATGCAGCCGAGTGTCCAACAATGCAAAAAACAAATCAGACTTGGTCTTGCAACCAAGGTAAAAGAGATCAACAGCAGTTCTACTTAGATCAATTAGATAGGAAGAAGTTTTAGGTCTTCTTAAGTAGGAAAGAAAAGGAAAGAGGTTTGAGAAAAGAAAAGGGCAGATCCACTACAGTTTAAGCTCTGGTACTATTTTTCCAGCAGTACGACAGTTGGGGAGAAGAGAACAAGAGCAGAAAAAAGAGAACTGTTAGATGAGGCCACAAGTAAAGTGGTGGTGTCCAACCACTCTATTATTATTTATAAAGAGAAATCAATAAAAATAAAAAGACAATAGTACCCTTGTGGCATAAATGTTTAATTACACAACATAAGTCATACGCTATTATATTGTTTATAGGGGTGTTCATACCCCGGTTGTAATTCTCTGTATATTCTTGTTTATATTAATCAAATACTTTCTGTTATCTATCAAAATAAGAGTTCAAAATATTAAAACATCAACTATATTTTATTAAATTATATATATATGTATATATATATATTTCACAAAATCAAATAAGATGAAAATTTTTCATAAAGAATATAAGAAGAAAAGAGTCATCTATAATGATAAACTTGAAAAGATAATGTGTTTGAAGAGAACACAATCATATTAAAACAAATGATTTGGTTGATATGATAAGATATATTTGAATAATATTTCATATCAGTACCCAATGGAAATATGTCACAGAAATATTAGGAAATATGTAGACATTTTAAATTAAGCATAAAATGACTCTAATGCCCCAATCAAGATACACATGCAATGTCATGTACTCGTGTAGATCCCCCACATATTGTTGGCTCAGTACAAATAAGATCATGGGACCTTTATTGTATGGACAAGCAAATAACCTATTTGGGAATGAAATATTCCCATTATTTCAGTTCTTAAACAGAGAATATTAACACTAAAGTTTCTCACAAACAACCATATCTCTCACAACATAGAAAAAAAAATTCTAAGAGAAAAAGAACAACCTCATGTTGAGCTGGTTGCAGAAGGGAATGCCATCCTAGTTACAATCTCAATCAAAAATAGATAACCTTGACAAAATTTTCAACTGTCCTACAAAGGATGAGACAATGTCAAAATCGAGATCATTTACCTCTCCTGTACCTATGGTGAAGTCTGTGAAGCCAAGGGAATCCCTCACTTGGATGCTTAGTTTCTGTTTTCTAGGGTTTGCAACAAGCATATGAAAATCCTGTTACCAAGCAAGAAGATATTATTACTCAAAGAAGTTTTAGTATATAAGATAAATATATTTGATTGCAGATTATTGAGAAATTCACTTCAGATTTCAGGACATTAAATTCAACAGAAAAGGCGAAAAAGAATAGCAAAGTTCACCTGATTCCATATTGGCTCACCAGGAAGCCCAATAACAGTGGTCTGACTGTTCTTTTTACTACGAATTACTTGATCACCCAGGGTAAGGACAACATATGGATCTGTTTTTCCTGACAAAATGCAGAGTACAAACCAGTTGGCATCACATGGAAGGATGAAATCTAAAAAAAATGGTTGTATAAAATTAAAAATGTCCATTATGGCAAAAAAGGACAAAAAGTCCACAAATTGAAAATGTAGAGGATCTGACACAAAACATCGTGCAACCACTCCTTGTAACTTGTACATATAAAGCCAAAAAAAGTCAACAAGATTTTGTTTATCATATAGTTTATGACTAAGCCTAAGAAAATAAAAGAAAACTAAGGAAAATGGGAGCATCCTGGTAACATCACATAGGTAATAATTAGAAATGCTAGTCTCTTGATGAAGAACAGGTGCCATAGAAAACATAGGCAAGCTTCAAGCATATACTCAACAAAATCCTCCTTTCCTTCTTGAATTTCCCCATTTTTTAAATCACTTGAAACAGAATTTTATTTAACAAACGTAAAAAAAAAAAAAAAAAAAAAAAACGAAAATGGGAGCATCCTAGTAACATTATGAAAGCGAAAGTAATGCTAATATGTTGATGAAAATAAATACCATAGAAAACATAGGCAAGCTTTCGGGCATCTACTAGAGTCACTGACAGTTCTCCAACAAAATCCTTGTTTCCTTCTTGAATTTCCCCAGTTTTGATATCACTTGAAACAGGACCAACTGCTTTTCCCTTTTGGAAATCTAAGACAATCTTCTTTGGCCGTACAAAGAGACGAGGGAGGTCCTCAGTGAGAAGCTTAGTCAAGAACCTAAGAACCAACAACAAGATTCTTAAAAAATGAATACAAATGAATTCGGCATAAAACATGGAAGTAAAGAAATGAAGGCTATTTAACTTTTAATCAACAACAACAGCATAGACCATCAAGAATTATACCTCCTTCTATACAATGCAGGCGGCATAGTGAGTTGAAAGAATACCCAACATATTCCAACTTTCCAAGATATGGAATTTTATTGAAGAAATCCCATGCAGAAGAAAAATTTGGGAGCAAGTTGCACAAGAATGAAGTGGACGTTGAAAAATTAGGGCATCACTACCTTAGTTCTCGACAATGGTGTGTATTTATTCCTTCACCTGATTTTTGTTAATTCTTGTTGAGGGTTATAAGACAAGAGAGACCAAGGATTCATTTGAATCCATGGGTTTCGAGGGAAGAATTCAGAATCTGGTAGGTTCTTTTTTTTTGGACTAATAAGAGCATATTTCTAAAACCGAGTATTCTATGCAAGAGAGAGGAGCATACTTACTAGATGCCCAAAAACAAAATTGTTGTAGATAAAATTGCTACCTCAGGAAGCAAATACACCAATAAAGCTTACTCCTCCATACCTTACTCCTAGGAAGACAACCAGCAAACGAGGTAATGGACCTCAGGATCTATCTGAATGAGATGCTCTCTGGTCATATTTCTGTAATTTTACCATTTATTTGAAATGAGTATAAATTTTAAGTGAATAAGCCAGGAGACCTAAATTCTTCTTCCTCCAGACTCATGATCCTCCTCTCTTCTTCCCCTTATCCACCTCCTTCTTGCTATTTCTACTCATTTCTCTCTTTGGATCTTACAACCTGGTACCAAAATTCTTAAAATCAAAGTTTTTTATCCTACACACTCATTTGTATCAGCCAACCGTACAGATGACATCAGCAGGGTACTGGTCAGCAATTTTCCAATGGTCAAAGAAACCCAGATTTCAGTACAACAGTATTTAGATTTTTTATAGTATATTACAACAGAATTGAAGCCATTAGATGTTTTTTTTTATCAACAAGAGAATATGGGATTATATTAAAATATGAACAATTATTACATTTAGAAAAGTTGGGTATACCTCAAAACTTGATTTCCAAGGAGAGGTTGAAGTAACTGAGGATATAGCTTTGCACCCCAGTCATTATCTTCCACCCCATGAATGCTATCTCTGCAGCCCAGTGCACAAGGCTCCTGCCAATGTGGGGTCAGGGGAGGGACAGATGTACACAGTCTTACCCCTGCACATACAGAGAGCTGTTTCCAAGATTTGAACCCTAGTCACCCAGGTCGCAATGGAGCTTGCGCCAAGGCCCACTCTCTTTCATCCCCCCACAGCTCAAGTACTTAATTTGTTGTCAGAAAATCTGATTGTTAGGAATCCAAAATTGTCATCAGTATCTGGAGAAGTGACTTCTAAAGAAAATAGACCTGGTGAGAAGATTTGTAACATTGAGAATCCCAACTTGCATAGATTGCAGACCACTCTCTTGTTAAAGATTTGGATCTTCCTGTTGAACTCCATAAACATCCTAGCTCCTATAACTGAATCAGCAGAGACCCAATCTGATTCATCCAGGAAGCTACAACTGAATCAGCAGATATCTACCAATACACAACACCTCCTATAACTCCAACATGCAAACATCCAACCTCAATGAAGAGCAACCAGAACTTTCCCATTCTACTCCACATCAACTGAGCACATACAAGTTCTCAAACACTTGAGGATCACAAAGACTCTGAAGGTACACACCCACAGTTGAAGAGGATACCCAGGAACATTAACAAAAAAAACTCCTTCACATCACTCAACTACGTTCACATCAATAGAAACCCCTTGATTTCGCTTTCCAAGGAGAAAGGAAGAACCCTACTTCTGTTCAGCACAAGAAGATAAAAAATTCCTTTTTTGTACTTCTTGTCGATCTAAGAAAGAAGATGAGAGAAAAGGATGCAAGAAGGTTTGATCCAATCAAGGTACCCACTCTAATACCATGTTTTCTGAGGTAGAAACTTGGGAGAAGAGAAAAGAAGAATATTGGAGCTAAAAAATTTGGGTGGAAGCCCCTCTTGTTTTATATTAGGATGAACATAACTTCAGGTAAAAGGATCAATATGCCCCCAAGACACCAAACTATACAAACAACAGGAGTCATGGAAAATTAGGTTATTTCCATATACCTATAATAAAAGAGACTTTCACGCTCTTTGCCCTTCATCAATGATGGAACTTTTCTTTTCCAAAGTTTACCCCTGTAAATTTCTTTCCTAGAGGTTATGGTAACAACTTTTTCTGACTGACCAAGTCCCAATGCAAGTTATGGTAACGGATTTTGCTAACTTTTTATTTCTTTCTTTGCTAATGGCTTCCTATAATTGGAATTTGGATGACTAAAAAATTAAGAAAAAAGGGGGGGGGGGTCACAACACTGACAGAAGGAACAGGTGCTAAGTGCTTACCATAAGGGCGACAGGATTCTCTTTATTTCCACCCTTCCCATCTCAATGTCCTCCCTTTCAGAGAGAGACACATGTGCTTTCACACAACCCCCATCAACCAACGTGCATAAGACGGAGGTTAACGACCTCCGCCTTTGTTTTTTTATACTTGATAAAATTATTTAAATAAAAAAAAGCTCAACATCAAAAGTATTGCCCTATCTCTCCTGCATCCTAGGCTTCCTAGCCTCTTCCACTACACCGCCAATTTTGCAATTTTTTATAGGGTCCAATAATAGGGTTTGATTGTCTATTTATAGTTGTTGGAAAACGTGGGGTTACTGGTTCAGATCTGAAAATAGAATTGTATATATTCCTAGGATTGTGGAAGGATTGATTTAGAAAGTTTTTCTTTCTATTTTTGTACTTTCTATTTTCTCTTCTTTCTATTTTTTCTTCTTTCTATTTTTCTTTCTTTCTATTTATTGCAGCAGCTTACTGTATAAATATGCCAATTGGCAATAGAATGAAACATATCAGTATTCTACCATTCCAAAACAATAGTTTGTTTATTTTTAAAATTTCAGAGTCATTACATAAGTATGAATAGAGTTATTGAGTCTTCTTTGAATTCAAATAGGATATGACAGCTTAGTTTGAGTTCTACTAGGATTATTGAGTCTAACAATTTGACTTCTAGGACTATTTATGAGTCTAAAAGTTTGGCTCCTAGGTTTATTATGAGTTTAGGGTCTATAAATATGTATGGACGTTTTACACAAAGAGCAATGAAATTTATTGAGTTTTCTTCAGCTTATGCTAACTATGATGAGTGGTTCCCATGCCCTAGAGTGATTCTAGGCACCCTGTGAGTGATTCCAGGTATTTTCTCTTCTTTCTCTCCCTATTTCTCTCTTATTCCTTCAAGAAGCCATTACAGCCATCAACAGCCATAAAATTTTGATGAAAGAAGACCATTCAACATACTCTAAGGACTAGAACTGAGCTTGTCCTACCTACATCTTCTACTCAGGAGCAGGGTATGTTTTTCTTTCTTTAACATCATATCTATGGGACTGATTCTTTTGTACTTCATATGTTGATTTATCAACAAGAACTCCTTGATCATATTATTAATAAAAACAGAAGGATTAAATATATCCATTCACCAGCTTGATTTGCATGAATATTTTAGCATTTTTAAAACATAATTAACATTATCTTATTTTATGTTTCTAGAAAAAATGAAATCATTTGGATAAGCAAAAGCGTATACAGGAAAATTAATTATTAAGCAAAATAAATGGTTTTCCAAAACCAAGCCACCTCCCAAGTTTCAGCAACTCCAAAGAGAAAGCCTTTTATATTCCATGAAAATGAAGTAGAACAGTGTTTGTGCAGCTTAACTGAAGCATACAACAAATTACAAAAATAAAAACAAAAAGAGGCGTGCACTTACATTGAGAGGACTGGGATTGCTGGAGAATTACCCATTGCATGCACAAAGAGCAGACACATTTATATCAGTAAACCATCATAGCATCAGGTAAAAAAAATGTGTCACATGGTTTGAAAAGAAGATAAAATATTCAGCTGGTTCAACTTGAATAATAGCAATTTAATTATAGAGATAAAAAAGAAGGGGGTGAGCACATTTAAAGGTCCTATGCATCAGAAGAAATCCACAAAATAAAGTGAATATCAGCTTTTCTATGAAAGGTTATGCCTTACCTTTTATTCCCTATTGACAGAGAACTCTAACCAACTCAATGATAAAAAAGAGAGGAGAGAAAGAATGTTAAAAAAGATGAACGTTAGATGGGGTTGTAAGCTTAACAGAATGGTTATTAGCGATTCTGGTGTAGGATCACATGCTCAGATACCAATTTAATGCAGGATTGATGTGATCCAATGCTGGGCTAGTAACAAATTCGAGGGAAACTTAAAAATGAATAACGACGGTAAGGGTTAGGTCCAAGGTTAGGGGTTGAGGGCCTAGAGGTAGGAGCATGAGACACAATATCAAGGGTATTGTTGGGGACTTCAGTTGCTAATGAAGTACTTCCTGAGGTTTCAGATCCAGACCATAATAAAACTGGATCAGGTAAGAGAAGTTAAGAAGAAAATTGGGCTGGAAGAAGTGGTAGGAACTCCCAAAGTAAAATAATGAGTCTCTTCTTCTTGGGTGGAGAAGAATTTGCATGAAAAGCATCCATGAACTTGGAGAAGGGAGGGAAAGATAAGGCTAGTGAACTTCAAGGCTGAAGAGATTAAGAAGGAAATCGGGTTGTTTCCCTTTTTTGAGATGGGTGGTTTGACATTTGGTTAGGAATTCAATGTTTTGATGGATTGGGTAGTAGTGGGATTTAATTTTGTTTCTCCGTTAGGATCTATGGGTGTTCGTAAGGTGTTTTGGATGTTTGGTTAGTTTGTTGTTTTACTTTTTGGGGTGATCTCTCATCGCTGGTAGACCTGTTCATGGGCTGGGCTCGGGCTTGTCTTTTTCCAAAATTTGAATGGGCCCTGCCTGAAGCCTGAGCCCAAAATAGTGTAAACTCAAGCCTAAAGCCTGGCCCATGAACAGGTCTAATCACCAGGTGATGTATTCTGTTTTCTCTATTCAATGAATATTCTTTTTTATTTTTCTTCAGAAAACATTATTGTAAGAACCTAGTAAGTTTTGAATAAAATAAATAGGAATAAGTGTGTATAACCTATTCCCCTAATTTTCACCAACATTTTCTTTTTTTGCCTTTCTTTCTGTTAAATTTTTCTGTCTCTCTCAACACTAGAGCCAAGAAGATAGCTATACCAGATATATTTTCTTTTTTCTTTTTTTTTTTGAGAAAGGGAGAAAGGGTACAACAGCAGCCCCACAAAAGGAGCCGAACACTCGGGAACAAAGCTCTAGAACACATTACAAATCTAACAGACTTCTAGTCCTCAGCTGAGCTCCAAGAACCAAGGTCTAAAGACCTTTAGCAGCTACAATCCAAGAGACCAGCTTACCAAAAGTAAAGGAGATTAGGCAATCTGATTCTTTAGCACTATTCTGGAAGATCCTTCTTTTTCTTTCTGTCCAGATAGTACTAATCACTGCTGCAGGAATAGCCAACCAAACACTTTTAGCCAGGTTGGAATAACCTTGGAGCTCCCAACTCCATAGCAGATCCAAAACAGAATTCTGAATGACCCAAGGTAATCCCAAGGCAGATAAAAAATGTCCCCAAATAGCAGAGGTAACAATGCAGTGGATGAACAGGTGATTGCTATCCTCTTCAACTTGGCCACACATCACACACAGCAGGTCTTGAATCTGTACTCCTCTTCTTATCAAGCTCTTTTTGGTTAGGCACCAATACAGAGCTGCTGCCCAGACCAAGGCATTTACTTTGGAAGGGGGTATTGGATTCCAAATTTGAGCAGCAGGAACTTCCAATTGATTTCCTTCTGCTAAAATCCTAGCAAAGGACTTAACAGAAAACAGCCCATTGGCACTGCAGTTCCAGATCCAGGTGTCATCTGCCAACAGATCTAGAGATTGCCTAGACAGCAACTCCAACAGCTCTGAAACTCAATCAACTTCCCAATCATGAAAGGGTCTTCTAAAGGAAGGGCTTCAGGAGATGGTGCCATCCCTTACTTCATAACAATCAGCCACTAACCCATTCTGATTCTCAGCAATTTGAAACAGCTGGAGGAATAAATCTGCTAAGGGCCTGCTACTGCACCAGTCGTCCTTGCAGAAACCCAGCCTAAGACCATTACCCACCTTTGGGGACAAACCTCTGCTAAGAAGCAGGAGAGATTCCATGATTTTCTTCCAAAGAGAATCACAAGTACCATAAGAGAAATTTCCTAAAGCACATTGAGTTACTCGAGTAGCATTAAACAGAATTGAATGGCGAATAGGATTCATGTAGCTGACCCCATATGATTGGAATATATGGCTTGGATGATGATGATAATGGTATTGAGTTATTACAATCATAGTTCTGTCAATCCATGGAACAAGGACATTGTGTGATAAGCTGGAAACAATCCACTATAAGTTGAGAATGCAGGTTTGCACTACTGCCTCCATGAATAACCAATCTCATTGTACTTTTTGACAGTATTGACTTAGTGTGAAAGCTGGTGTATGACACCAATCCTCTTTTAACTCCTCTTGAGGTGCTTCTGTAATAACTTTGATTAGACAAACAATAGGACCATCCAACTCTTCTCCAAATTCACCAATAAGTCTACCCCATAACATCAGTAATTTTGTAACAATATAATTAGTAACAGCCTATAAGCTCTGATACTACGTAGTGTAACATGGCCTTAGGACGATCACATTAATAACGAAAAAATAGAGAATCAAAAGCAGAAGATTGGAGTCAACCTCTCTTCCCTAATCAAATATGGAATCACTTCAAACTTAATACAAGGCATTCAACAGAATCCAACTAAAGAAGAAAAAAACTTTAGCACACCCGAAATAAACAAAAAGGCATAATTTTATTCTCAATCTTGTCATTCCCCTTTACAGAATATTATGAACCTTATATAGAATCTAAAGACTCCTAATCATTCTCTCCAATTCAAACCTTATAGTTAGCATAACTTCAAAACTGCTAAACCCCCCAAAAAATATAGAACTTTCACTTTTTGACCAAATGCAAGTTTCCTACAAATTTCTAATAAGGAAACAACTTCTCAAACAAGGACGATTTGTTTAGAAACTGGAAAGTGGCTGAATCTTCATCTCCCAAGACTGGTTCTAGTTATCAATGGTATCCACCAGAAAGAGGCTATATCAAACTTAACTTTGATGGTAGTAGTATGCAAAACCCAGGAAGATCAGGTATAGGTGGAGTATTGAGAGACAAGGAAAGATTATTGCTCTCTATTCTGGTCCAATGTTTTAAAACATGGAGGCGTGACGTGACACGAGGCATTCCACTACCTAGAGCAAGAAGAACCCGGGCTCAGTTGGCCCCAGTTTAAGTCCTATTGCCTTCTTAGGTTCGGACCCCCACTGACCAGCAACCCACTGGGTGAGCTAATTAACCTTAAACAGACCGGCACAGTGGCTGAATATCAGCGACAGTTCCAAACCCTCCTCGCGAGGGCATCCTCCGTGCGACCCGACCAGCAAGTGGATATGTTCACGGCAGGGCTATCAGAACCCCTGCGGGTGGATGTCGAGATGCAGAATCCCCCAAATTTGGTCACAGCCATGAACTTAGCCCGTGCGTTCGAGCGCAAATTGCAGCTCAGCCGCGGAATTTTTAATGTGGGTCGGCCACCAAACTCATGGGTACCCCCAAGATCAGCAGAACGCCGAGCAAGAGGCCAATGTTTCAACTGTGATGACCTCTACTCGGCAAGACATAGATGCAAGAGGCTTTTTTGCCTCCTAATCGATGAACAAGAGGAGGAGGAAGAAGAACCAGTCATATTCGAGCCAGAGATCTCTCTCCATGCGATCACCGCCATTAAAACCTCCCAGACCATGCAGTTACAGGCACAGATAGCAGGTCAACCGATGCGCATTCTCGTCGATTCAGAGAGTACACACAACTTCATAAAGTGAACATGCCTCCCTTCAGTTAAAACTGCCAATGGAGCTTCAACCGCGACTACAGGTAGCCGTCACAAATGGTGAAAGAGTTCACAGTCCAGGAATTTGTAAGGACATGCCGGTACAGGTCAATTCTGAACTGTTTCTTGCTGATTTATTTGTACTCTCATTGGATGGGTTCGATATTGTTCTCGGGGTCAAGTGGTTAATTACCCTAGGCTCGATTTTGTGGGACTTCAGCGCCCTCACCATGACCTTCCACCTAAATGGAAAGCAAGTCTCATGGCACGGTTGCAGGGTTAAAGAAAAGACACCACAGGTCCATGCACTTCAGACAGAACCGGCAGCCATGGAAAAACTTCTCGCCGAGTTTTCAGATCTGTTCCAGGAACCCAAGGGCCTCCCCCCTCCCCGAGCTTGCGACCATCGTATTCCTTTGGTGGCGGGTTCAGCACCAGTCGTTGTCCGGCACTATCGCTACCCTCACTTACAGAAGGACGAGATAGAGAAACAATGTACAGAGATGCTGAACCAAGGAATCATACGCAAAAGTCACTCCCCCTTCTCTTCACCGGTTCTGTTGGGGGCGAAGCAGGATGGAACGTGGAGGTTCTGTGTTGACTATAGAGAACTCAATGACCGGATGATCAAAGATAAGTTCCCTATTCCCGTTGTGGACGAACTGCTGGACGAGTTGCATGGTGCCCAGTATTTCTCTAAGTTGGACCTCAGGTCCAGATATTTCCAAGTTCGCATGGCTCCCGGTGGCGTGAAGAAGACTGCTTTTCGCACCCACCATGGCCACTTCGAATTTTTAGTCATGCCATTCGGACTCTCCAACGCCCCATCTACATTTCAGTCCCTAATGAACGAGGTATTCCAGCCCCATCTGCACAAATTTGTTTTAGT